TGCGCGCGGGGATGTAGGCGGGCCGGCCGTTCATCTTGGCCAGGGCGTACAGCGTGGCGTACTGGCCCATCTGGTTCCCCAGGCGGCCGATGGCGTTGATCGTCCACATGCCTTCCAGCTTCGGGGCCGCCAGCCTCTCACTTCCAGGCGGTGGCAGTGCTGACTGTAGCTTCTGTCCCTTCCGCCTGGGTTCAGTCTGCATCAGTCGCTGTTGCAGGTGGAAGAGGGTGGAAGTGATGAAGACGAAGAGGATGACGTGCGCCATGGGGAAGAAGAAGGAGCCCTGGGCTCTGGCCATGGCTGTGGGGAGGGAAGGCATGGCGTCAGCTCCGGAAGCCAGGCAGGCCAGGGCTGGTGACCAGGGCCACCCGCTGTGTGCACCAACATGGGCGGGTGCGCGTGAGTGTTTCCTCTGAGCTTGTGTGTGAACAGTGGGTGCATCCATGGGTGGATACGTGCAGATATGTCTCCCGTCTTTCTTTGTACTGGGGATTGAATCCAGGGCCTTCACACTGAGCTACATCTCCACCCCTTTTTTGAGATAGGGTCTTGCTAAGTCACTATGTTGCCCATGCTAGGCTGGAATTTTCGATCCTCCTGCCTCACCCTCCCAGAGTGCTGGGATTATAGGACTGCGCTACATGCCTGGCTCGGGTGTGTGTTTATGCAGGTATGTATAGATGTTATGTTCATATATGGTGTGTCATAACTTTTCTCAGTACTGGAGATCGAACTCAGGACCTTGTGCTGGCAAGGCAGGTAAGGCGGCACGGAGCTAAATCCCCAGCCCTCATATGTGGTGAGTATGCATTGTGTATGTGTGTGTCTATACATGGTGTATATTTATGGTGAAATTGTGTGCATAGAAATGGATGTGTATGTTGCAGCATATGAATGTGGATCTATCATGTATATGTGTGAGTGTATAATGTATTAGTGGTTGTGAACACAAGGCAATGTGTATATCAGTGTGTGTATATATGAGTACAAATACCCCTTGATTTATGAGGGGTCACATTCTAATAAATCCACTATAAGTTGAAAATGTTATACATCAAAAATGTATTTAGCCAGGCATGTAATGCACATCATTAATGGGGAGGCTGAAGCAGGAAGACTTCAAGTTTGAGCCCAGCCTGGGCACCTTACATCACCCTGTCTCAGGCCAGGCATGGTGGCACATGTCTGAAATCCCAGCACTTGGGAGGCTGAGGCAGGAGGATTGCTGTGAGCTTGAGGCCAGCCTGAGCTACATAGTGAGTTCAAGGCCAGCCTGAACTGCATAGCAAGACCGTGTCTCAAAATAAAACAGAAAAAGCTGGGCATGTAGTTCAGTGGTAGGCCCAGCATGCACATTGCCCCGTGTTTAATCCCTATACCAAAAAAAGAATCACTTCTCGGCCTTTTGGCTAAGATCAAGTGCAAAAAAAGAATGAAAAAAATCATTGAATACACCCAGCCTACCAAACATCATAGTTTGGCAACACAGCACCCTAGAGTACAGGCTGTTTACCTTCATGGTCACGGAGTGCTCATTGCAAGAGTCTGATAGTGCACAGTGCTTAGCTGGGGAAAGATCAAAATTCGGAATTTGCAGTATGGTTTCTACTGAATATGTGTGGCTTTTGAACTATTGTAAAGTCCAAAAAATTGTAACCATTGTAAATCAGGAACCTTCTCTATATACACTGTTTTTTGGGGGTGTGGTTTTGGTTTGGTTTGGTTTGGTACTGGGAATCAAACTCAAGGACTCTCACTTGCCGGGCAGGCACTGTACCACTGAGCTACATTTCCCAGCCCTACATTGTTTAAATGTGTGTCTTGCCAAACATGGTGGCTCATGCCTGTGATCCCAGCATTCTGGGAGGCTGGGGAAGCAGGAGGATGGCAAGTTCCAGCCCACCCTGGGCAACTTAGTGACTTAGCAAAAGGGGCTGAGGATGTAGCTACATTGAAAGTCCTGGGTTCATTCCTCAGTATTGAAAAAAAATGTGTGTGTCACTAGACCGTGAGTGTGTGTACGTGGTGAGTGCATGTTTGTCTGCTGTTCCACTTGGGACCTGGGTTCTAGACATGTCCACATGTACTGAAGCAATGCTTTTTTTGTTGTTTTTTTTGGTACCAGGGATCAAACTCAGGACCTTGCACTTGTGAGGCAGGAGGCAGAACCACTGAGCTACATTCCCAGTCCCTGACATGTCCACATGTGGCATGCCTGGCTATATCCCCTTTGGAAGGAAACTTCCTGGCTGTCATGGACTCAACCACCTCACCTGTTTACCTTCTGGTCACAGCCAGTTGAACTACAGATGGACACATGGCTCCTGGTGGCCTTGTTCATTGGCTATGGCCTATGACAACTGTAAGCTGGCTCTAAAGGATGAAGAAGAAAACTTCAATCCTGGCCAAGACATCCCCAAGCACTGCCTTCTCTTTGGGTACAAATGTCTGTTCTTTCCAACTTTGCTCCCTCAGCAGTCAGTGCCAGGAGTGGGGTGGCTGGGGAGAACAGACCACCAGAAAGCATATGGGGCTCTGGTGGTGTCCCTGGAGGCAGAAGGCAGTGTCCCATTCATGGACAGAAAACCCCAATCATTAGGCTGTAGCTTTGTTGGGAACAATTCAACCTAAGTTTTTTGGAAAATCATTTCAGAATTAAATTATGATTAGGCTTAGTTTTCCCGCCTATAGTCTGGCTATGGCATGTTAAGACACAACTCCATTTTTTACTCCAGTCACAGCTAAAACCTCAGTGGTCCTGTGATGCTGTGACACTCCAGGGCAAGACTGCATCAGCTGAAGACATTCTGGTTCCTTGAGAACTGAGTAGTAAGAGAAAGGTTTCACCTGGGGAGGGAGAAATTCCTAATCACCATAAGTTCCTCATTGTCCTAGGATCATTGCTGCCCTTTGAGTGATCTGTTACTCCCTATGAACCAAATAAAGAGCAGTAAGCTTAGGGTGCCTTTGTCTTTGGTGCCCAGAGCAGCAATGATCAGGCCCAAATCTCATTTCCTGTCCTTACTCATTAATTCGCCTTGTGCTGTCATGGCTCACAGGAGACCAGGACTCACTGCAGGGGTTCTGGTAATGCCCCTTTTCCCTGTTCCCTACCTAGATGGAAACAGTCAATGAAGCTGTTGGCTGAGATCCCCTGGGAGTAATCAGAGGCTGCAGGAGGGAGGGTGAGAGTCTCTGCACATGTGGTTAATGGGCATAAGCAGAACCACTGTAAGGTATAGAAAACAGGACAGGGATGGGTTCCGACCCATCTGTGTAGCCAGAGGCCAGGGCAGAGCGACTTTGACTCAGCAGTGTTGGATTGGCACTGTTATTGCTGATGGCAGAGGGGCTGGAAATGACTGGTGGACATTTTCCTCTGCAGGCTGGGATGGACGACACCTGGGCACACTGCCACAGTCAAGTCCGGATTCGGCCACTATTTAGGGCAGCTCGGGCCCTGAGAGGCAGGAATGAGGAAATCTGGGAGGAATCAAGGGCACCAGGGCCTCCTACACCCTGAGCCCCTCCAGAGGACCTGTGAATGCGAGGTCCCCAACTACTCCTTTACAGCTCTCCCTCAGGCAAGCATAGTCAGCACTCTGGGAGGCTGAGGCAAGAGAATCGCAAACTTGAGCTCAGCTGAGGCAATTTAGTGACTTAGCAAGATGCTGTGTCAAAAATTTTAAAAAAGGGCTGGGGATGTTGCTCAGTGGGAAGACCCTGAATTCAATCCCCAGTATTCAAAAAAATACAGCATCTCTTTTCAGGGGGCTTCAGCAGCAGCAACTCCTGGAGACTCGGCAAAGGCAGGTCAGAGGCTAAAGGTTTCCGGATGACTTAGCCATGGCTTGTGTTTCAGAGCCAAGTGGCCACTGAGAGAATAATGGAGCTAAAAATCCAGCAGGTTAAACCTGTTTGAAACCGTGAAGCCACCATATCTGTGCAGGTTTGGTCTTCGGTTATTCTTGCTGATGAGAATTGGCTTTGTCAGCCAGGTGTGGTGGTGCACACCTGCAATCTGCACCACTCTGTGAGGCTGAGGCAGGAGGATTACATGTTTCAGCCCAGCTTGGGCTGCTTGGTGACTTAGTTAGACCCTGTCTCAAAATTTTAAAAAGGGCTGGGGTGCTCACTTCAGCACCACATATACTAAAAAAGGGCTGGGAATGTCGCTCAGTGCAGAGGCCCTGGGTTCAATCCCCAGTACTGGAAAATAAAAAGTTGGTATAGGATCTGACACTGCCACATCTTTGCTTCTGATTTATAAATCACTCAAAACTTCAGATCCCATTAAGATCCCATGAATGATAGCAGAAAAATTCAACTTTGTCATTCAGTTATTTATATCTGTGTGTGTGTGTGTGTGTGTGTGTGCGTGTGTGTGTGTGTGTGTGTTTTACTGGAAATTGGACCTAGGACTTTCACACCTGGCTACATCCCCAGCCCTTTATTTTTATTTTTTATTTTAAGATGGGTTACTAAGCCACCATGTAGCCTCAGGCTGAGGCTTGCAGTCCTCCTGCCTCAGCCTTCACAGTGCTGGGATCACAGTTGTGCAGCACCACAAATGCCTGTGGTTGCTTTTATTACCTCAAAGTGCTGTCACCTGCAGGCTCTGGGTTAAGGACCAGTTTCCATGCTCCACCTGGGGTGTACTGATGGTGGTCAGACTTGGCATTTAAAACACCGAGCACACACATGGGAGAAGTCACACCGGAAGGCAGATATGGGGGGGCAGGGTGCCTTCAAGTCTCCCTCTGGGGGAGGGTGAACATGTCTGAGATTCTACCTGCTTTTCTTTTCTTCTGTTTGTGGTGCTGTGGGACTGGGATAGAGAGTATGTCTGATGGCGATCAAGGGGTGGACTGTAGGAAGCTGGTACAGTTTGCTGACTGCAACAGTTTACCTTGTTAGTCTATGATCAGTTGGACTGTGTCCCTCAAAAAAGGGTGTTGAAGTCCTAGTCCTCATGACCTCAGAACATGATCTCAGGAACAGTGTCTTTATGGAGATGTCCAGTTAAAAATGAGGGTGTGCAGAGGACCCTAGTTCTACTGGAAAAGACTAAAGCACAGCCCGTGTGAGGCTGGCCCAGACATTGGCCAGTCTGACGTGCCTGATGGAACCAAGCAGATTGTCTCCCTTAGGAGAGACACAGGACACCTGGGGTCCCAGAAATGCTGGTGGAAAATGGAAACATGGAGGAAAGGAAGGGCAGAGAGGAGGGGTGGAAGGAAGGCAGCAAGTGGAGGGGGGAGAGAGAGAGGAAGCAGGCAGGATGGATTTGTCTCTGCTGCCCCGTCTTAGCCCCCACTGTCCCTACTCCAGCTCCCTCTCCCTGAAGCACGACTCTTTGGGTTTGTTTGTCTGTTTGAGCAAAGACTCACTATGTAGCCCAGACTCCCCTCAAACTCACAGCAATCTTCCTGGCTCAGCCTCTCCAGTGGTGGGATCAGTGTGTGCCACCACGCCTAGCTTTCTAGAGCTCAGTCTCTTCATCCCTCACACAGGCCTCCCGAAGGACAGGACGTGTCTGTCTCATTCCCCACATCTCTCCCAATGAAAAACATGGGCTTGGGCAGGCACCCAGTAGGTGCCCAGGGAATGTTTGCCTCAACCACCTGGGGTCTTTCCCTCCCTCTCTAGTTAGGTACCAACCAACATCTCCCTGTCTCTTGAGTGTCTCTTTCTTTTTTTGTGTTCTCTCTCTCTCTCTCTCTCTCTCTCTCTCTCTCTCTCTCTCTCTCTCTCTTCTTTTTGTCTCCATTTCCTGGTACTAAGTAGGTGAAAAAGCAAACAGTACTACAACCAAATCTTTGAATCTCTGGTCTCCTAAACTGAAAGTGCAGCATTCCCTTTAGAGCAAAAAGAAAGACGATAAGGCTGGTTTGGTTTGGGTGAAAAGGGCGGAATGTTCTAGAACAATGTCTCCCCACCTCCTGGGCCTTTCCCTCCCTCCTGCTGCAGGGAGAGGCCCCTGACTGACCTACCTGGGGCTGGGGGAACCCACACATCTGCCAGCTATGAGATGGGGACAGGTTTAGGCTTGGAGAGAATCTGTGTGACTCCGGCAAAGGGTTGCCCCCCTCTGTGCTCCATGTAGTCTAGGGCTGTGTGATTAGTAAGTCCCCAGTAAATACCCCGTGAGCCCACTGCCTCTGTTCCCTGAAACAGGCTTGCTACAGCAGTCACTTCTACGGGAGCTTGAGTGTCTGATGGTGTTGTCTTATTGAGGTTTATTTGACCTTATGTTTTGCAGGTACTGGCATTGAACCCAGGGTCTCCCCACTGAGCTACATCCTCAGCTTTTTAAAACTCATTTTGAGACGAGGTCTCACTAAGTCACCCAGGCTGGGCTTAGATTTGTGATCCCCCTGCCTCAGCCTCCCGGGGTGCGGGGATAACAGGTGTGCGCCACCAGGCTGGCTCAGGCCATGACTGATAGCTAGGAATCCAGGCTGGAAGACTGGCCTGGGGCCCCACAGCTAAGAGAGGAGTTTAGGGAGCTGGGGGAAGGTGACAGGCTGGGAAGTGGACAGGGAAGATGCTGAGGTGACCGGAGGAGACAGGAACAGCAGCCTGGTCCTGGCGACGTGGGGAGTTCTGGGGACAGCCAACAGCTCAGTCCTGCAGTTGAGATCAGAGCCGGGCCTTGCTGGCAATGCGTGGGAGCCCGGGTTTCCCCAGCTCTCTGGGGTCAGGAAGGTTACCCTGCTATCTACCCACAGTTCCCACAGCTGCGTCCGGCACCGGAGCCTGGCCTTCCGGGTGGGGGAGAGGCAAGCTCACGAGCTCATGTCCCTTCCTTCTTCCATCTGGGTCCCCTGGGCTCTTCCTCTGGGAGACTCCAGTAGGATGCCAGAAAGGGACCCCAACTTCGTTTGTTTAGTTTTATTGAGAGGGGCTTGCTATGTAGTTCAAGCTGGCCTTGAACTCACTGTGATCCTCCTGCCTCAGCCTCCCGAGTGTTGAGGTTACAAACATGAATCACCACACCCGACTGTGGACCCCCATTTTGAAAGAAGTGGCCTCCAGTTCCCTTGCAGAAGTGGAGGGACTGACACCTGCAGAGAATTTCTTTTGAAATGTCCTCTCCCCTTCTCTGTCTCCCAGGCTGGCCTTGTCTTCCCCACTTTGGACCTGGCTGGTCCCCAGCTGTCCCTGTGTCCAGAGCTGGCCTGTGGTCCCAAAATCAGCTCTTCCATGGCCCCTGGCTTCCTCTGGCCTGGCTCTGGCCCCCTCGGCTGTAGCTTTGAAGCCTGTGGGCTGCTCAGCCCTGCCAGCTGCCAGCTTCCCGCTGCCCCTCCCTTGACCTCCTCCCTGTGCCTGGCAGGTCTGAGATGATAATCATAGCAGGGCTGTGAGGGAGCTTAACTTGAAAATGCAAATTGGCCACTCTGGAAAACCAGCCCCCCCCCCCCTTTATCCCCAGCCTGGAACAGATCTGTGCTTTGGGATCCCCTCCCGGGATGGAGGGAGGGACTGAGCCACTCCCGCCAGGCAGGGAGGGGGCTGTGCTGATGCCCTGCATCACCAGGAGAGATGGCGACAGGGAAATCTGGTTAGTGCAGCCTGGTGGTGTCCTCCTGACTGCACATTTGTCCCTAGGGCTCCTGGAAACTGGTGAAAGGGAGGGAGGCAGAGAGGCAGGAGTTTAAAGGAGGGATCTGGTGCATGCTTGTAATCCCACAGCTGGGAGAGGCTGAGGCAGGAGGACTGCAAGTCCCAGCTCTGCCTGGGCAACTTAGCAACTTAGTGAGGCCCTGTCTCAAAAGAAAAAAAGGAAAAGCGCTGGGGATGAAGCTCAGTGCAAAGGCCCAGGGTTCAATCCCAGTCCTGGGTAGGGGTGGGGAGAGAGGTGCAGGGAAGGGAGGTAGATGGGAACTGGGTCCCAGCTGCCAAGGGCTGGACACCAGGCTCCTGAGGGCCCGAGGAAGGGTTGTGGCCCCGAGGGAAAGGAGCCCAGATACAGCCTGGAACAGCCAGTCCCTACTCTCCCGGCCACTAGAATTGGGTCGGTGCCAGCTCTGCACAGGTGTGTGCACCCACAGGAAGGCGGGAGCAGAGCCCCCCGCCTCACTCACCTCCTCTGGCTGCAGGAAGTGGGGACGAGAGATGGCTCTCAGCAGGCGGCTCTGTAGTCCCTGCTGGTCCGAACTTCATGCAGAGCCAAAGAACTACCTGAGTCCGGCACCCTGCCGACAGAAAGCCCCGCCCAGGGTGTAGCTGGTTTGGGTTAGGCTCTTCTCTCCCGCACTGCCCAGGTGCAGGCCAGGGAGGCCATGGGTGGGGTGGGGGGGACTGGAGTCTGGCCAGGCCAGCTGGGACTCAGCACCTTAAGATGGACAGCCATGTCAGACTCTCACCTCACTCGGGGGAGACACGCTTGGCCCCATCTTCAGAGTGGAAACCAAAGCATAGAAATGTATAGTAACACAGCCAGCAAGGGAAGCTGGGACTTTTTTTTTTTTTTGAAGCCGATTTGTTTCTTTTTTCTTTCTTTTTTTTTTTCTCCCAGTACTGGGGATCAAACTCAGGACCTCGTGCTTGCGAGGTAGGTGCGGTGCAACTGAGCTAAATCCCTGTGCCCTTTGTTTTTTTCAGTCAGAGTCTCCCTGTGTAGTCCAGGCTGGCCTTGACCTCACTATGTGTAGCAGACATCTCTGCCCAGTACTAGTGGGCTATAAGTGGCAGCTGCTTCTTGCCTTCCATAATCTGGCTATATTATTTTATATCAGGAGTTAGGCCGAAGTTCAAATGGGCATGGCAGATGGTGGATTGGGTGAGTATAGCCCCTCCGCCTATAGTTGCCACAGAGACCTAAGACATCTGTGAAGTGGCAGGGCTCTGCTGAGTACGTGCAGCTGAGGTCAGTGTGACCTCAATTAAAATCCTTCCCCCTGAATTATGACTTCTTACTAACCTTGCGGGTTGCTTGCTAACTGTACCCAGTCCCAGTACTGTTTCTTCTATCCTAGCAAGATAAACAGTGCCGACTCCCTGACAGCCCTGCCTGGCACCATCATGCCAGGTGTTGGGCACCACATATCACTAGATGCCTTCAAAGCATATCCTGCTCTATTCCTTCCCACACTTGTAATCAGTAAAGAGTGGATGTGCTTGGGGGCCTTTGCCTTTGTTGCCCAGAGCAGCGCTGATCAGTCCTAAGGCCCAGCTCTCCCTCTGTCTCGTTTCTTTATTATTAGCTTTGCATTGTATCACCTCACAGGAGACCAGAACCCACTGCCAGGGTCTCTGGTGATGTCCCCTTTCCCATTTCCTATAACTATATAACTCAGGCTGGCCTTGAACTCACAGTGATCTTCCTTCCTCAGTCTCTTGAGTGCGGGGATCACAGGTGTGTGCCACCATGCCCATCGAGAAGCTGGGATTTAAACCAGGCTGGCACGGACTTAGAAAATATATGGCAAGGGCATGGTTGTGAATGCTGCCTGTGATCTCAGCACTCTGGGAGGCTGAGGCAAGTGGATTACACAAGTTCAAGCCCATCCTGGGCAACATAGTAAGACCGGGTCTCCAAAAAAAAAGGCTGGAGTTATAGATCAGTTCAAAGGCCCTGGAACTTCAGAGAGAGAGAGAGAGAGAGAGAGATCTGGCAAATAGTAACTCTTTTCAGTTTCCCTTATTTGAAAAAAAACACTATCAGGAAATTGACCTTTTGCATCCACTAAAGACACCACAGTCTATGAATGGCACCATTGTTTGCCTATGGCTGCCAAAGCCAGATGCAGGACTCTTGAAGTGTACACAGGAGGCTGAGCTGGGTACTGCTACAGCCTTGGCAGCTCTAACACTGAACAAGGGCCAGTGGGCACTGGGCCCCGAGCCAGGCAGCATGAGGTTCACTGACCAACTAGGAATTTCCCTCTCTCCTCTCTCTCTCTCTCTCTCTCTCTGATACAGGGTCTCAGTATGGAACCCAGGCTGGACTTGAACATGTGTTGATCCTCCTGCTTCAGTCTCCTAAGTGCTAGGATCACAGGCATGTACAGCTACACCTGGCTCAGCTGTGAATCTCTTTAAAAAAATAAATAAATAAAACCTAAGTCAGATCAGGCTTCTGGCTTTCACCACCAGTTTTGGGAAACAGGAGGATAAAGTTGCTGGTAAAGCACAGGGTGAGGACTCCGTCAGCCACATCCCAGAGCAGGGGGAGTTAGTTTGCAGGACATAAGGACTACATAAGGACTGGTTTCCCCAGAATTAGTGTCATGGAAATGAGAAATGGCAGGGGGAGCTCAGAAAATGTGCAGAACAGATTCTGGGCTCAAGTGCATGCAGATTTCCCCCTTTCTACAAGCTCTGATCAAAATATACAGTGAATACTTAAATACAATTTTATTACAGTAAAAGACAGTATGGCTGGGCGTGGTGGCACACACCTGTAAAGCCAGCACTTGGGAGGCTGAGGCAGGAGGATCACTGCAAATTTGAGGCCAGCCTGGGCTCCGTAGTGAGTTCAAGGCCAGCCTGAATTACACAGGGAGACCCTATCTTAAAAAAAACCCAAAACACCAAAAAAAGTACTATTAATCCTCCTCAGAATCCTCCCCCTCACTTCAAACGCTTATCCCATTGTTCTTGCCACTTTCTGAAGCTGTTCTGGAGTCCCCTTTAACATGCTGAATGCTGTGGCCAAGCACCCCCATCAGAAAGGCAGGCTGTTAAAACAGGACGCCGTGTCCACTCGACTTGGTCCACCAGAGAGCTGTGTGCACCATGGAACTTCTGGGGCTTCCCCAAATTCAAACTCCCCGAGGGATCCTGAGTCCACATGCTGTGCCCCACACATGCTGGCCCGTGGTGGCCCAGGACAAACGACAGCCTGGCCCAGGGCTAGAGGCTGCTCTACCCAAAGGCTGCGGGGATGCCCACCCACTCCGGCAGGAAGGCCGCCTCGGGCTTGAAGACTCTGAGGAAGGGAGAGTCGGGCAGGGTGTAGTTAGCCAGGTAGACGGTGTCCCCACCCGCGAGGTAGGCAGCCCAGATCCCGAAGGTCCCGATGGTCATGACCGTGTGGTTGCACTGCGTGAGCAGCGCGAAGTCCCTGCCAGGCGAGCCCTCCACGCCGTCGCCCGCGAACACCACGTCCCCGCGGGAGGCGTTGATGTTCTCCCGGCACCAGGCCATGCCGTTGCTGGTGACCACGAAGACAGGGGCGGGGTAGCGAGCCCGGAACCAGTCCAGGGCCTGCTCCAGGTACCCGCGGTCGGCCACCACGCCCTTCCACACGCGGGGCATGACGCGGACGTAGTCGCCGCGCCGCACGTGCACCCCCACGAAGGTGCGAGGCCGGGCGCCCCCCACGCGCAGCCCCTGCAGGAAGGCCTGGGCCTGGCGGCGCACGTGCTCGTGCAGGCTGAACTCGCGCAGGATCTCGGGCCGCAGGTGGTGGTAGAAGGTCCAGGAGCAGGGGTAGCCGGTGAGGCGCACGTAGCGGCCGCGGATGTGGCGGTAGCGCTCCTGCATCCAGTCGTCCAGGTGGTAGTTCTGCCACGGAACTGCGAGGCCCCTGTCGCCGTGCAGGACGGGGAGGCTGATGCGGAAGAGTGGGGCCAGCGTGCTGTGCATGCGCGCGGGGATGTAGGCGGGCCGGCCGTTCATCTTGGCCAGGGCGTACAGCGTGGCGTACTGGCCCATCTGGTTCCCCAGGCGGCCGATGGCGGTGACGGTGAACACGCCCTCTCTCGGAAGGTGTCCGGGGACTGGGGACCAGCAGGACGCGCGCCGAGGAGGCCCAGGGGGTGGGCACCAGAGCCAGGCGCTGATGGCAGTGGAAGACGGTGGACACCACGAAGATGACACAAAGGAAGCAGAAGGTGACCCTGAGTTCCTTGATGGCTGTGGGAGCAGGAGGAGCAGCGGTCAGGAGGGCTAGCTGGGGTGTATATGCACTCCCACCTCCATGCTTCCGTTTATTCAGTCCACCCCTGAGTGCAGGAGCACAGAAACTGGAGTCTGCACCCGGCCCGAGTCCCTGATGGTCTCTTGCCAGTGCTGTGGGCCTCCTCAAATCACTGTACCTCTCTGAACCTGTTTTCTCACCTGGTAAACAGGGATGATTAAGTTGTACTGTTTTCGAGGCAGGCTCGGTGCCACTGAGCTAAATCCCTGGCCCAAATTGTACTGTTTGAAAATGCCTGTATTCTGCTGGGTGTGGTGGCACATGCCTGTAATCCCAGTTTTGGAGAGGCTGAGGCAGGAGGATCACTGTGAGTTCAAGGCCAGCCTGGGCTACATAATGAGACTCTGCCTCAAAAATCAAAACAAAATAGGGCCGGGGATTTAGCTCAGTGGTTCTGCCACCTGCCTCGCAAGCGCAAGAACCTGAGTTCCATCCGTGGTACCAAAAAACCCCCCAGAAAACCGATCAAAACAAAACAAAACAAAACAAAAAGAAGGAAAATGCCACATAAAAGAAAGAGAAAATGCCTGTCTCTGACCGTATGTAACCTACAATTGCAGCCATCTGTATGGCTTCTCCTAACAAAACTACCTCACTGGGAGGTGGGAAGCCAAGTGTGATACCTGACTCCCCACTTATCTGCGGTTTCATTCTTCAGTTTCAGTTACCCAAGGTCGACTATGTTCTTAAGTCACTACAGGGAAAATCCCAGAACTAGATCACTGTGGCTTTTCTGTGCTGCTCGGGCAGCCTGACGGTCTTTCCGCTCTGGTGAGTCATCCTGTGACCCCCCTGGCCTGCATCCGGCTGCATGTGTTGTGCCTGCCATTGCTCAGCATCCCCTCACTACCATGAGTGGGCAGGGACCACAGTGTGTGTCCACCTAACTCCTGTTTTCTTAAGGACTCCAACCGCAAGGAAAGGGAATCTAGCAATTTAGGTACACCAAGGAGAAGCCATGAAGGGCTTCCCTTAGGTGAAAGGTAGAAGTGCAGTTAGAATACACTGAGGGATGAGAGATCACGTTCACACAATTTTCATTAAATATAGGGTACTGTTCTATTTGTTCTACTTTTTTTTGTTACCGGGGATCAAACTTGAGACCTTGTGCTTGCGAGGCAAGCACAGCACTGCTGAGCTAAATCCCTGGCCCACTTTTTTTTTTGAGACAGGGTCTTACTACTATGTAGCCCAGGCTGGCCTCAAACTCACAGTGATCCTCCTGTCTCAGCCTCCTGAGCACTGGGATAATAGGCATGCGCCACCACACCCAGTTATAACATGTTTGGACAGTACCCGGTGTGCAAGAAGTCCTCTGACGGTGCTGTAAATAAATAATCCCAGTGTCAGGCATGTGTCAGCGTGTACCAGGCAGGGAAGCACATGGAGAACAAAGGAGACTCGAGTCTTCCCTGGTCCCACTTAGCTGAGGGTGCAGGTCAGAGGACTCAGGTGCCCGGCCAGGCACTGCCTCCCCCTGGCTGGCCAATGTTGAGTACAGTTAGGTTTTTAACCTCCCGTGCCTCCGTGTCCCTCTCTGTGAAATGGGGTCAGCCACAGTCCCATCACTATTGGTGCGTGCAGTGGATCAGGCCACCCGGCTCTCTGGCCCTCCCGTGAATGCAAGGCCAGGCCTGCCTGGGCTGTCTGATGTGGCAGAAGGGACACTGTGGCCATTTCTAGCCCGGGACTTGAGGGACCAGCCGTTCCCACTGCTACCCCTGCAGCGTCCTCTCCGTGATAGCAGCCACCCTGTGTCGCTTTAGCTTTTACTTTGTCTGTATGTTTGCCATGAGCACCCCTCCCCCGCAGACACTGCGATACGGTTCACATGCCATACCATCCACCCATTTAAAATGCACGATTTCATGGCTCTTAGGACAGTCACGGAGCTCTCTGAGCATCTGAATCACTTCTGAAACATCTGCCTCACCCTGAAAGGAAACCCTGCACCTCAGTCTCCCTCATCCCCGCATCCCCCGCCTCACCCCCAACCGAGCTCTGCTTTCTTCTCCGAGGATCTGCGGCTCACGCAATGTCCGGCCTCTCACCGGGCGCCAGGCCCAGCCTCGAAGCGTCAGCACGGCCGGCCTCCTACACCGGCAGGGGGCGCACCGCTGTGCCGCACGGATCCGTTCACCAGCCCACGGCCCCTGCGATGAATAACGCCTCCTCGCATCTGCGTCGCCAGGCAGTGGCACTGTGCGGTCATGGGCAGTTTTGTGAGTCACAGTTTCAGGACCTGCCAGGCTCTGTCCACCGTCCCGCCCCGCCTTCCATCCCCACCCAGGCCGCTGTCACTCGCCGGCACCTGAGCGCCTGGCTGGGCAGCCTGCAGCAGAACCTCAGGGGGAGCCAGGTGTGTGGCCCCCAGGTGCCCCCGGGCTGCCCGGGCTCGGTGGACCACAGCTCCTGTCCTCCTGATGAGACGACGGACCCAGTCTGGAGCCAGGCTGTCCCCTCCCCTCTGTCCCCCCCGCCTGGGCCAGGTGTCACCACCTCTCTCGTCCTCCTCTCTCCAGGCCTCATCCGGAAGCCCCGGGACTCTCTCCAGCAAGGTCAGCCAGCTCGCCGCGCGTGAGACACCATGTCCCACACCCCGCTGACTCAGGCGAGAAACAGGGTCTGCTGCTTAAATTTCCGAAAAGCAAATGAAATCGAGCTGAACCGCTCATTCGGCCGCACCCAACCCAGGCTCCCGTCGCTGGGAGCGGTCTCGTGCTCCAAGCAAGAACCCCGGGCCACGGTGGTGGCATGTGACCAGAGCAACTCCGTGGCTCCTGGCAGACAGGCCCCTGCGTGGGCTAGTGCTCCGCTGTCACCAACCTGAAATTTTTTCAAGGGATTCGCCACCATTCTGGGTGAAATTCTTTTTTTTTTTTTTTTGGTACTGGGGATCGAACTCAGGTCCTTGCGCTTGGGCAGCAAGCGGTGAAACCACTGAGCTAAATCCCCGGCCCTCTGGGTGAAATTCTTAAGCGCTGAACACCCAGGTTTTCTTTTTACCCTGGGCTCAGATGTGAGGCCTGCCTTCTCCTGGAGTCCCAGGGGCTCCCCCTTGTGGCGTCAGCCTCAACAGCCAGAAAGCAGAGCCTGCTGAAACGGGCGGCTGGGGCCGGGGCATTGTAGGTGCTCAGTGCTCACCACCCAAGACCCCTTCCCTCTGGGCGGGTGGGAAACAACGAGCCACCGAACTCACTCGCTACTGGGGGACAATGCCTGGGGCTTCCTGCGGACTGCACTTCTCCAAGTGTGAACCGCGGGCGTTACTGCAGACCCTGCCCTAGGCCATGTGCCGTGGTCTCTGCCCCTGATGCAGTAGGTTAGGGAACACGTGAGGCCCAGAGTGCAGATAAGAAGCCGATGCCTCCATGAGGTGGCATTTTAATCCCCTTTTAAGAAGTGAAGCAAACTAGGCACAGAGAGGTTAAGCAACTTGCTGAAATCACACAGCTATGGTGTCCAAGGGAAAAGTGGTCCCAAGGCACAGCTCAGAGATACTCCCTGCCCTGTCTTCCAGGCCTCTGCTATTCACGAGGGCAGGGGAACCCAGCAGGCCCTGCCGCCTCCTCTGGAGCCTGGGAGTGAGGGTCCCAGGACACAGGGAGCCCTCACCCCCCCACCAGCACACCCAAGAAGTCTCCTGCAGGTCCTGGGCTCCTCCCCACCCACCCCCAGGGGTGCCTGCTGGTGCTAACTGCTGAGCCACTCAGGCAATCAAGAACAAAGTGAAGCCAGCATGGTGGTGCGTGCCTGTAGTCTCAGCACTTGGAAGGCTGAGGCAGGAGAATCACCATGAGTTGGAGGCCAGCCTGGGCTACATAGTGAGTGCAAGGCCAGCCTCAACTGCATGCCCAGACCCTGTCTCAAAAAGAAAAGGACAAGAGGGGAAGAAAGCAAGCCTGGCTCCAGGGCACAAGAGCTCAGGGGACCTCTTGCCCCACAGACGGATGGGGAAGGGGAAGAAATGTAGTGGGGCCCAGCTTTCCCAGATCCTCTAGCAGCAAAAGCCGCCCTGCACCAGCATCCCCTCAGCCTGAGCGGCTGCCCTGGCTGCCCTCAGGTCTCACCCAGTGCCCCTTCATGTCGTGGCACTGATCCGCAGCACCCACAGCCCGCTCCGAGGCACCTGCCCCTCCTGACAGCCTCTGGCCAGAATTCCTTACACTCTTCGGGGTTCCCCTTCTGGAAGGGGGTCTGGGGTCCTGTTCCCAGGGTCTTGTGGTGCAGGTGCTCGGGCAGGCAGGAAGAGCTTGGTCAGGACTCACTGGCTCCATTGGCACCGTGAGTCCTGAGTCAGCACCTCGTGCCCTGAGCCGGGTGCCCCCTCTGACACAGGGCCTATGGTTCCCCAACCCCGTCCGTCTTCTCATAGCTTTCAGAATCAACCCCGGATGTCCCTGTCCTTGCTTCTGCTGGATCTGAGGGTCACCAGAGCCAGAATCATGGTTGCTGCTGGGCCCAGGGCAATGGGTCTGTGGCTCCCTGTGGGGACCAGGCCCACACTGTGCTGTACAAACATGGACACCCAGGCCAAATGACAGCAATGTGCTGGCTTCTAGGCACCCTTGATCGTCTGAAGGGGAAGTGAGAAAAACTTTATTTTTCTAGTCAAAACCATTTGGCTAAGAAATACGTTTGGATGAGAATTTTAGGAGGAAAGCACCCAGGCATCTGGAACACGGGCCACCAGGAGTGGCCTCTGGGGTCCTCACTCTCTCCCCGAGGCCTGAGGGGCTCTCACTCCCCTGCTGCCCCTCCCACTGCTTCATGCCAAGGCCTCTGGGTCTCTAGCGGCAGGTCTGATCCTTCCAAGAGCACAGAGTTTTAGGGCTTGAAAGCGACTGACCTTAACGCCCAGTTAACCCGCAGCTCCGGGCCTGTGAGGCGGGGCTGGCTGGGGTCAGCCTGAGGCAGGGCCAAGCGGATCCCCACTCGGGCTGGAGCTGCTCCACAGGTCAGGGCCAGATTGAGCCACCACGTGGCACAGCCGGCACGCCTTCGGGAATTGGTGGGGCTGGGCCAAGTAAGGGTGGAGCGGGACCCCAGACCCAGAAGCCCATCCTCTACCTATCCGTCCTACCTGCCAGGAGCCTCCTGGGCCAGCCTGCTGGGAGCCGCCTGGCTGTGGGCCCACCCGGGGGCAATAGCGCTCCCATCCCACGTGGGTGGCAGGGGTCCCTGAGGAGACAGCGTGGCTGTGGTTGGTGAGGGGACCGGAGCAGGGGGGGTGGTGTTTGATTCTGCGGGCTCTGCTGGAGCTCCCGCCCAGAACCCCCACAGCCTGGGCCTGAGAACAGCCACTCCTCCCTCCCTCCCTCCCTCCCTCCCTCCAGGAGCCCACCGCTGCCAGCCCTGTGGGAGGAGCGCGTGGGGACCGACTGCGGACTCTGGTACAGGTTGGTGATGCCTGGGACCCTGGGCTCGGGTGGGAGTGCATGTCAGGAGCCAGGAAGGGGCCTGGGCGCCCAGCCAGGGCCGGACAGTGGGTTTGCTGGCGTCAGGCGGCCCAGATCCCAGGTGGAGGCTGGGGGTCAACAGGTGGGCTCTGTGGTAGACACGGGTCAGTTTCTCGGCACCCCAGGAATACTGGGGGACTCAGGGCCTCGCTCCTCGAGGTGCTAAGGGCACAAAAAGCGGGACCCCTGAACAACCCAGCAAGAGGCCTGCTTTCGGGCCGGGGATTTAGCTCAGCGGTTTCACCACCTGCTGTGAGAGCACAAGGACCCGAGTTCCATCCCCGGTACCAAAAAATAAAAAATAAATTTAAAAAAAATAAAATAAAAAATAAAAGAGGCCTGCTTTCATGGGGGCCTGGCCCCAAACAAAGCTGCAGCTGAGGGATGGCAAACACCAGCCACAGAGCAAGCACAAAATGGCGCCAGACCCTTGCAGGGCAGGGTGCCGCCTGGGGCAGAGGAGCCAGAGTCTGCACATGGCAGACCAGTGGGGCACAGGGCCTGTGTGGCCCACCTGGTGCCCAGGGTGCCAGCTTGGGTGCAGATCTGCAGCTAGGGGCCCAGAAAGGCCCCGAGGTGCCCAGACCTGACTGGGCTCCTCAGGCCACTGTAGACCTTCAAGAAGACATGGGGGTCAGCAGAGGACAGAGTCCTTGCAGTCGCCTGTGGTGGTCAGGACTGCCGACCCCCTCAGGCATCCTGGCATCTGGTGCCTGCCCTGTCCCACCCTCCTGCCTTCCTGCCTCTCTCCTCCCTCATTACCCACCACCTCCAACATCTGCTCCCCCATCTGCTTGGCCCTGAGGATGGGTGGAGAATCAGGTTGGGGACTCTGATCCCCAATCCCCGAGGCTGAGGGTGGTGGGCGGCGGGCGGAGCTGAGATGCTCAGAAAGCCCCTGGAGTCTGACTTCAGGGTCCCCACACCCCAAGCCTTAAAGGAAACCCAGGCATCAGCCTTCCCTGTCCTCAGCTCCCCACTCTGACGTTCCCCTGGCTGGGAAAGAGTTAAGGATGGGCTGAGGGCCGGGCTGGGTGGCAGGGCGGCCGGGGGGCCAGGGCCATTTGGCGATAATCCCCTCCGTGCCAGGGCTGTGGAGAACAAGGTTAGGACCCCACGTGGGAAAGGCCCCCGTGCTGGTCCCTGTGGGCCAGGCCTCGGCCTCCTGCTTCTGATGCCCCACTGGGCTCGCCAGCCTGGCCCTCCCCGCACCAGGGCCTGTGGGCTGTCTGCTGTCCCCTGTCCCCTGGGCTCTCCAGAGGGCCCCTGGGCCACCTGCCTGCCCCTTCAGCCTCCAGGATCTCCACAGGCCTGTGTGCTGCTCCGTGTGCCCGGCCCCTATCTGTCTCAGCCTCCTGGGCTCCCGTGCCTGTCCCTGCGTCACCCTGGTCCTTCTCCTCCGTGCCAGGCCCTTCCCGTAGGCCTGCCACCTCCACTCCTCCTGCTGCCTGCTGTCTGTCCCACCCCTTCCTTGCTCTGTTTCTCTGCTCTGAGTCCTCATCCCCTGCGGTCCCCTTGGCCTGCACAGCTCTGCCCCAGTCTCCTGTCCCTCTCCAGGTTTCTCCATCTGGTGGCCTCTGCCGTCCCTCTCTTCTGCCCCCTCTCCCTGGGGGCCCTGTCCCCTGACACCAATGGCTAACTCTGGGGTGTTAAGCTACGGATTAGTTCAGGCAAAATTCTCAATTTGGCTTGCGTTCCTTCCCCTTTGGGTTATGTAAACAGTAATTCTCCCCAGATGGAACTATTTTCCTCGCTTCTAGGCAGGCGGGGAGGGGGTGCGGGCAGGGCTGGGTGGATGCTGGGCTGTGCAGGGGCCTCGGGGAGCGGGCCGGAGGCTGCCCGCGGAGGCCCCACTGGCCGCTCTCCTCTGCAGGTGCTGGCTCTGCCCTGACCATGCCTGTGACCTTTGCCCTCTTGCTCCTCCTGGGCCAGGCCACCTCAGATCCATGCTACGATCCTGGGGGCCACCCCCGCTTCTGCCTCCCGCCGGTGACCCGCCTGGCAGGTGCTGTAGCGGCCTCCTGCCCTCAGGCCTGTGGCCTCTCCCAGGGCATGGGCCCTGACCCCGGGGCTACCTGCAATGGCAGCCTGACCCTGGACCTGGACAGCCCCTTCCTCCTGTCGTCTGTCAGCCTGCGCTTCTGCAGCCCAGGGCCCCCAGCCCTTGTTCTGTCTGCTGCCCGGGCTGCTGGGGGTCCTTGGAGGCCTCTGTGGCACAGAGCGGCCTGGCCCGGAGCCTCGGGGGGCCCCGAGAAGGTGACCTTCCGCTCCCCAGCAGGCCCTAAGGCCCAGGTGGTGGCACACCAGCTCCGGGTGGAGTTTGGGGCCTGGGTAGGGCTGGCAGCAGCTGGGGTGAGAGGCCGCTGCCAGTGTCATGGCCACGCCGCCCGCTGCGCCGCCCGTGCCCGGCCACCTCGCTGCCGCTGCCGCCACCACACCACTGGCCCAGGGTGCGAGAGCTGCCGCCCGTCCCATCGAGACTGGCCCTGGCGGCCTGCCACGCCCCAGCACCCCCATCCTTGTCTGCGTGAGTCCTGGGCCCTTCCTGAGCCCCAGTCTCCCTGGCAGCTGGTCCCGTGTCCCCGAGGGTGCAGGGTGCTCTCTTCTCCCCACAACCGCTTGCTCCCTGCTGCTCTCTGCACCATCCTGGGCCCTGGGCCCCTGTCCGCCTGCCCGCCCGCAGCCTAACCCCACACACTCAGGCAGGGCTGGGACTCTAGTCTCACCCAACACTCTGGGACAGGGACGACTATGATGCTGTGGCACTGAGGTAGGGACGGAGCAGCCGGACACTTCCCAGCTTCTCAAACTGACTGGGGGAGAAAGGTGTGAAGTGCGTGCTTATGCAGCACCTACCACGTGCTGGGTAGGCACCGTCACACCAGGAGACTGAGGCCGGAGGTCGCAAGCCCCTGCACAAGACATACAGCTGCCCTGTGTGCCGGGCCCAGGACCCTGGCAGCTGGGCCCTCCTGGGCCTCAGATCATCCCTGCCAAGCTCCTTTTGGGTGCTGTCCCCTGGGTGCTCTAGGGAGACAAACAGGAGTGTGGCCTCAGCAGCCAGCCCGGCAGACTGCCTGGGCTCAGGTCCCAGCTCCTCTGCTCACCAGCTGTGTGATCTGAGGCAAGTGACAACCTCCTGGGTCCCATCCAGTGAGGACAGTAACAGTGCTGCCCCAGAGCTGTAGAGAAGATGCAGTGAGCTGGTGTTCACAAAGCCCTGGGGCAGAGCCCAGTCCTGACCTGGCAGGAGGAAGCTTCCGGGGCACCTGCCATGTTGCTGTCCCGGGGAGGAAGCCCTGAGAGCACCTGTCCACGGGACCCCACCTGACAAGTGCCCCGGCCCCTGAGGCCACCGCTCCCCCTTCTGGTGCTCCAGAGCCTCTGTGCCTGGGCCCTCCTCAGATGCACGAGGCAGCAACTCCCACCCTGCTCCCCCGACACACACCCAAGCATTCCTGCCCCTTGTTTCCTGCATGCAGTGACGTGAACTGACTTACAGGCCATCCTGGGTCCACAGCTCCCCTCTGTTCTCATCCCCCTGAGATTTTCGCTGCAGCCCTGTACCTGCCCCCTGCCCCCTGCCCCCAGACCCAGGGGCTCCAGCCCACAGCCTGGAGGGCAGGGAGGGAGACTCATGTGTCCCAGAGGTGGTGTGGGCTGCATTCGGGGCCTGGACAGGGCCTGGGCATCGGGAAGGTCGTCCCTCTGAGGACTGCCACAGCCGCTGAGGCTGAGCAGGGCACCAGCCTCCACACCTGGGTGAGAGAGACCCCCAGGGCTGTGAGGAGGGGTCTGGCAGAGGCGGCAAGACTGGCTCCTGACTCTGCACTTCCCCAGGTGGGAGTTTCACAGGGAAACTTCCCCTGGGGTCAGAAAGGGTCCAAAGCCTGACTCTGTCCCCTAGGAACCTGCATAGCACTGCCACCTCTAATGCCACCAAGCCCTGGAGCCTGGGCTGGGGACTCCCACTGGACAAGGCAGACAGAGGGCCAGAGCCCAGCCCTTCTCCCAGCTCACCCCACGGCTCTGGCCAGCTGCTGGGGACCTGGGAGTGCCGGGCTCTTGGTCCTTTCTGAGTGAAACCCTTAAATCCAGGTCTCCCCAGGAGTGACCCAGGTACCCTGACACCAGAGTCTCACTCTGGGACAGTCACTAGAAATACCAAACACTGGGCCCAGTGAACACCAGAGTGTGGACCCTGAATCTATGTCTTTTTTTTTTTTTTTTTTGGTACCAGGGATCGAACTCAGGTCCTTGTGCTTTCGAGGCAGGAGGCGGAACCACTGAGCTAAATCCCCAGGCCCTCTATGTCATTTTTGAAATGTTTCCCTAGTGACTGATAAGGAGTGAGGCTTGTGAGCCACTACCTTAGAAAACCTGATAAACACCTCCTGGAAAGAGCAACATCCTCCAGAGATCCCCAGGAGCCCAGGTTCAAATCCTGCCTCTGAGCACCTCCAGGTGACACTGCCTTGGGCAGAGGATTTCGTCTCACTGTGTCTGAGTCTCCCCATCTGCGAAGTGGGGTGATGCTGGTAGCAGTCTCACAGAGCCACTGTGAGAATGAAACACATCCAGCAGCCAGGCACGGTGTCACACACCTATAATGCCAGAATTTGCAAGGCCAAGGCAGGTGGATCACAAGTTCGAGCCCAAACTGGGCAACTTAGTGACTCGGTGAGACCCTGTCTCAATATAGAAGATGAGGGCTGGGGATTTAGCTCAGTGGTTTCGCCGCCTGCTGTGCAAGCACAAGGACCCAAGTTCCATCTCCAGCACCAAAAAACAGACAAACAAAAAATAGAAGATGAAAAGGACTGGGAATGTAAGCACGAAGGTCCTGCATTCAGCCCGTGTACACTGCCACCCTCAAAAAAAGGATAGAATAAGGACAGAAATAGGTGGAGCTCTCAGCCCACAGCGGCTGGCATCTGGAAGCACTCAGAGCCCAGTACCTGCTTTGGGCCAGGCTCGGGGTTGAGCACCTTCTCTCTGTGAGCCTCACGAGGGAAATACTAAATGTTCTTCTGCAGCAATGGAAGTGAGCTAGGGAGGGCAGCAGTCCTGGCCCAAGGAACAGAGAGGCAGGCAGGAGTCTGCCCCACCCGCCCTGTCCTGAGCCCGCCCCCTCCTTCAGCAGCAGGCTTTACAGAGCCACTCAGAAAGCCCCAGTCCCTGGGGCTCACAGCTCCCCTCAAATGCACCCACTTCAAGATGAGAACAAAGACGTTCTGGGAGCCAGGTTTACCCAGGAAGCCCCAGGCTTTAACACTGTACCCTCATTTTATTTCCTTCCCTGGAGGGAAAGCTGGGGTCTGGGGACCAAAACCCTGGCCCTGACATCCCAGCTCCATCTCACTCCCAGCCTGCTCCTGCAACCAGCACGCCCGCCGCTGCCGCTTCAACTCTGAGCTGTTCAGGCTGTCAGGGGGCCGAAGTGGGGGTGTGTGTGAGCGGTGCCGCCACCACACTGCAGGACGACACTGCCACTACTGCCAGCCTGGGTTCTGGAGGGACCCCAGCCAGCCCATCACCAGCCGCAAGGCTTGCAGGGGTGAGTGCAGTCTAAAGCCAGGTGAGAGGGAGAGGCTGGAGGGAAGGGAAGCCCGGGTCCGAGGGAGGAGGCTGGGCCTGGGCTCCAGTGTCACGGGAGGACAGGGATGCAAGTTTAGTAGGAAGCATTTGGGTCCCTGACACTCCACACCCCCACTCCTCTCCCTGCATAGCCTGCCAGTGCCACCCTATTGGGGCAACAGGAGGTACCTGCAACCAGACCAGTGGGCAGTGCTCCTGCAAGTTAGGGGTCACAGGCCTGACGTGCAATCGCTGTGGGCTGGGATACCAGCAGAGCCGCTCCCCCAGGATGCCCTGCCAGCGTGAGTCCTGAGTGTGCAGGCAGGAAACCACCCAGATCCCAGTAGACAAGTGGGGTGGGGCCTGGGAGATGGAAGCCAGAGGGTGGAAGCAGGACTCAGTCCTCAGAGAAGCCAAGGCCTGAAATTTCAGGCTCCCCAGTCCTGGGCAGAAAGGGGGTGGAGGAGGAATAAGTAGGGGCCAGAATCCTGGGTCCTGGGAGAGGAGGGCAAATGACACTTGCACCCTTGGGAGTCTGCATGCCTGGATTCCTGGGGGAGGATGACTAAGAGGTGAAATCAAATTTCTCCTTTGGGCTCAGGAATTCCAGAGGCCACAACCCCTCTTGCCACTACCCGTGGTATTTCCAGCTCTGGTAAGACAGTCAGCCAGTGAGATCCCCAGGCACCAAGAGGGGTTGGGGATGGGCTGTCGGGGCTCTGAGCTTGTTCCGTCCCGGAGGGACGTCCCAGCTATCCTCACCCTGCAGTGGGGGATGGGTGGGCAGAACACTGTGGTCCAGGCCTCAGGAGCCCATTGCAGACAGCCTGACCCTCCTCAGACCCTCAGTGTCAAAACTACTGCAACGTCTCGGACACCAGGGTCCACATGAGCCTTCGGAGGTACTGCCAGCAGGACTACGGTGAGTGCCCGGAGAAAAGCCCCAAGGCTGCTCAGACATCTGGTGATACCCTCAGGGCCAGCGTTCAGTTCATTCATTTTACAGGGAAAGGGTGTTGGGTTCTAAAGGGATCCAGGAGCTGATAGGACAAGAGATATACGGGGTGGGACAGCGGAGAGAGGGTGCTCACACCTTCTTGTGCCTCCTCTTCCCCCATGTTGTCAGCTTCAGAGCTTTGCCCTGTCCTTCAGCCTGACACTCCTGAGGGTGCAAGGATGTGAGAGAACTGGTTAAAGGAAGGGTCCCTGTCTTGTGTCTCAGACCCTTTCTACACCCCTTCAGGGTACCAGTATCTGAGCCTTTGCCCTACTCTTAGTCCACATGGACCTAACTCGGCCTCATGCTCAGGAACTCAGCACAGCCCACAAATCCAGACCAGCCCTGGCTACTGCCCTCCCTGCTCAGGGTCGACATCTGGCCACTACTGTTCCCAGCCTTCGAAGGTGGAGCCTTTTCTCCCCACTGCCCGCAGGGATCCTCTACTCACAGAGACAGCCTGCTAGCCACCCAGCCCACAAGGCTGTGCAAGCTCGGGTGACCTCAGCCTTCAGTGCCAGGGACAGCCCTCATCCTTCCAACCTTCCAAACTCACCGCAGAGCCCTTCCTCTGACAATACCCTCCTCTCCCGGGGCTCACTCCTGATAGCTTCTGACCCTGCTGCATTAAAGATCCTGGATTTGTCTTTTCTGCTTTGTCCCCAGGCCCACCTACTGTAGGATCCCCATGTGCCACCCCTCCATCTTTTTTTTTTTTTCCGGTACCGGGGATCGAACTCAGGACCTTTCACTTGCGAGGCAAGCACAGTGCCACTGAGCTAAATCCCCGGCCACCCCTCCACCTTTAGCACAATTCCTATCTCTGCTGCTCCTAAAGTAACTCCCAAAGCCCCACCCAACACATCCCTGGCTCCTGGGCTCCTCTCCCAGTCTGGACTCCCCTCCTCTGTTGGAGACGCAAACCTCCTTTTCCAACCTCAATCCTGGAGCTGCACCTCTTCACCCCCTGCCCCGGGCTGCAAAGCCTCCTCCAGCAGCCCTCGAGACCCAGGCTAGACTCTCCGTGAGGTTCAAATCTCTATCCACTCTTCCCCGCCCAGACTGACCCAAGGGACCTGGGCGACCCCCAGGCCCCGCCCCACCTGACCCCGCCCTCCCCGCAGTTCTGCGCGCGCAGGTGCTGGCGTCCGAGGCTGCGGGCTCGGCATGGCGGCGGCTGGCCGTGCGCGTGCTGGCTGTGTACAAGCAGCGGGCCCGACCCGTGCGCCGCGGCGACCAAGACGCCTGGGTGCCCCGCGCTGACCTGGCCTGCGGCTGCCTGCGCCTGCGCCCTGGAACGGACTACCTGCTGCTGGGCAGCCCGGCCGGCGACTTGGACCCCGCGCGCCTCGTCCTCGACCGCCACGGCCTCGCGCTGCCCTGGAGGCCGCGCTGGGCCCGACCACTGCGGAGGCTGCAGCAGGAGGAGCGCAACGGAGGCTGCCATGGCCTGAAACCCTCCACACCGAGCCCCAAGCTAGACACTAATCTGGGCTGGAGCCGCCTCAGAAGCCACTGAAGGAACTCAGAGGTGATGGGGCGCGAACCCTGTACCTCGATGTGCGTCCTCAAGGAGCCAATCAGAAGCTGTGGCGCCCGGACATCACTCCGCATGCGCCAGCATTGCGCGGGCTGAGCAACTTTTAGCAAAAGGCGACAAACTGGAAGCGGGACTTTTGGAGCCCCAGCAGCACCTCTTTGGCCTGTGACCCAAGCAGTTCTTGCCCACAATAAAGTTAAATCTCGAGGAATTTTGTCCACTGACTTTTGATTCATGCTTGGAAAGTCTATAGGAGCAAATGAAGAAGGCCTTGAACAAATCTGCCCAGAGCACCCTGAGACAAAATCAGATAGAACTTCTATGGTGTCACTGGGTGCCAGTCAGATGTGTGTCGCATGATGATGGGCCGAGAGACCAGGGCGGGGTGGGGGGGGGATGGCTAGAAATGGCTGGATAATCTATGAAAGAAAAGAGCAGCTCCAGATTTCCAGAAAGTTCCAGGTGAAAGAACATTCCATTTCTGAAAAGCTTTAGGATAGTCTCTGAGAAAGGAATAAAGGGACTTGGAGTGATGTCTGAAGAAGGTTCTGACAGATTCACCTGGCCTGAAGTGTAATCGAGACTCTTTCCTGAGATAATAGCCCACTGGGAGCCCCGGAATGCTATGGCATCGCTTGATCCTAAGCAGAATTGAATTCCCACCAAACGGGCCAAACACAGGAAGTGCTATGGAGTGGAAAGTTGCCCTTGCTTACCCCCTTACCACTCTGACCTCTACCCCTGCACTCACAACCAACCACAACTTCAAATTTGGGCGATCTCTTCTGCAGAGTCACTGTGAGGGTGTGTTTTGAGGGTGTCTTAGAGGAAGCGAACTTGAGACCCATTTGCACCTGGAAAGCAACCCTTTCCTTCCCTGAGAGAAAAGCAGGCTCACAGCCAATAGGAAGACAGGCTGGGCTATGATTTCACAGGGTGCTAGGCAGAGAGAAAGGTGCCCTCTAGCGACCCTGGGTTGCTCCTGGTGACACTGAAAAAGGCAGGAAATATCCCTGGGGTGGTGACCATTTGACCCCTAAGCCACCAATAAAATCCTCAATCTGGGGGATCTTGTTTGGGCTTCCAGCTGGGCCCAGGATGGAGACATCTCTGAGCCAGTGTTTAGAAGATTCCCAAGGCTGCACATGATCTACCCCCACATCACTGACTTCACCTCCTACAACTCTCCTTCATTCACACCACTGCAGCCATATCGGCCACCTTCCTGTTTTAGAAACCAAACAATAAATGTGCTGGCCCAGGAACAACTCTCTTCCACTCCCAGCTCATTGGTCAGGATTTGATCATGGGATTTCAGAGCTGCACAGGGAGGGGTGAGGGATGGGAGAACTGTAGGATTTGGTTCCTACTGCTGCCATACCAAATTATCATAAACCCAGCAGCTGAGACAACACCAATTTATCAGCTTGCAGTTCTACAGATCAGAAGTCCCACCTGGGTTTCACTGGGCTAAAATCAGGTGCTAACGAGGCTACTATGTTCCTCCCAGATCCTCTGGGGGGCCATCTGTTTCCTTCCCATTCCAAGCTACTTGCCATGCCTCTTCCTGCAATGGCAGGTTGAGTCCTTTTCACACTGGAAATTCCCTTGCCTCCTCTCCTTCTTTCTGATCGCAGGTGGGAGAGATTCTCTGCTTGATCTGGTTGTTTTTGCAGTACTAGCGATGCACTGAACTACATCTCTAACCCTCTACTTTTCTGCTTGACACTTATTCCCACCTTGTTATTAACTATTTGTCTATTTGTTTGCTATGTTTCTGTTCCCCTGGAACATGAGTGCATGGGAGCAGGAATTTTTTTGAACATGGACACGTCCCCTAGAAAGGTACCTGATTCATAGTAGATACTCAGTAATATATGTTGAAAGACTAAATCAGTGAGAGGTATTTTGTAGCCCAACCAAATCAGAGGTGGTGCCTCATTTGATCTGTGTCATTAGTGTTCATAGCAATTCCCAAATGACAGTGGTTTAAATAAGATAGATATTATATCTCTTGAATAAAAGAAATCTGGTTTGATGTGGGAGTGCATGCCTATAATCCCAGGGAGGCTGAGGCAGGAGGATCACAAATTCAAGCCTAGCCTAGGCAACTTTGGGGGGGGGGTACCAGGAATCAAACTCAGGACCTTGTGCTTGCCAGGCAGGCATGGTGCCACTGAGTTATATCCCCAGCCCTAGCCTAGGCAACTTAATGACTTAGCAAGGCTCTATCTCAAAAAATAAAAATAAAAGAGAGCTGGGGATATACCTCGGTGTGAAGGCCCTGGGTTCAGTCCTCAGTAACACACACACACACACACACACACACACACACACTGTAGCTGGTCCAGAGCTGTTTCAGTTTTCTTTTCTATAATCCATGAAACAGTCCTTGTCCTCATGGTCCAAAATGATAGCTAATGCTCCAACCATGGCATCTGTATCCATTCAGCAGAATAAAGGTAGGCAAAGAGAAAAAGTCAAAGGCCCATATAGCTGACTTACAAGAATTTTTTTCCCCAAAAGCTGCCAAGTAATCTTTCTGTTCTCATCTCACTTGTCAGAATGGGGTTACATGTACACATATAGCTATAAGGGAGGGTGGGAATGTAGTCTTTAACCCAAGAACCAGCTAAATAGGGAGTTTTGTTGTTAAGAGAAAAGATATTTGGAAGAATTAGCTGCCTTATTTTATACCAGCCCTTCAACCAGTGAGAACCCAGAGTATGCTGTCATGTCATGAGTTGCTAGGCAGAGCAGCCTTTCAGGGTTTTTTGGAAAGAGGCTGAGCTTGGAAGGACAGAAAGTCTGGCCAAGGCTTCTATCCCACCTCTGCTGCCTTGACCTCAGATCTGCATCTCTGCTGTTTGCTGCTGTAACCCCAGCCCCTGGGACTTGACAGTTACCCCATAAATATGTATGGAATAATTAGCAGGTCCTGTTTTATCCCCATGATCCAAAGAAGAAACCGGCACCGGGGACTCCTCCTTGAGATGATGGGTGGGACTTCAACCCAGGTCTGCTGGGATTTGGCCAGACACTTTAACTGCCTCTTCCTTGAAGATGCTGAGATCCTGAGAGGAAGGAGACTTAGCAGTGGCCACACCCTAAATTGCCTGCATTCAGATTTAGCTTTCCAGACCTGTACTGTCCAGTACAGTAACCACGTACCACACTGGGCAGGCCGTGTAAGTTTAAATTAATCCTACCACTCAGGAGGCTAAGGCAGGAGGGTTGGCTTGAATTCAAGGCCAGCCCGGGCTATGTAGTGAGTTCAAGGCCAGCCTGGACTGCATAGCAAGACCCTGTCTCAAAAAACCAAATAAATAATTGCTAATTAAAGTAAAATAAAATTACATGTTCAAGTCACGTTAGCCACATTTCTTTTTTTTGGCCGAAGAGTCAGGTTTATTGAAGGGTAAGAGTGGGGGTGGGCTCAGCATGGGGTAGAAGTATGTGTGGCTGGAGGCAGCTCAGGCGACCAGGAAACCACCATCGACTGGCAGAGTGGACCCTGTGGTCATGCCACTTTGGTCACTCAGCAGGAAGAGGATGGCATCCACCACATTCTCCACCTCAACAAACTTGCCAAGTGAGATGTGGTCCAGAATGACCCTGGCCTTGTGGGGCTCACACCAGTTGGACTTGCCCATGGGCGTCATATGTTAGCCACATTTCAAGTTGCTGGTGTCCAGCACATGGGACAGGATAGGGGTATACCATTCCCTGCACCCCAGAAAGTCCTACCGGACAGCGCCAACTGCTGAGGAAAAGGTGGCTCTGGAGCCAAACTGCCTGGTTCGAATCTTACCTCTGCTGCCCACGGACCTCAGTGTTCTCATCTGTAAAATGAGGAGGAAGGTGATAACAGGAAACCATCTCCAAGGTGCAACTGGGGGAAGAAATGAGTGGTGGCCCATGACTGTAATCCCAGCACTCTGAGAGGCTGAGGCAGGAGGATGCCTAGTGGAGCCCAGCCTGGGTAACTTAGAGACTCTGTCTCAAAAATAAGAAATAAAAAGGGCTGGGGATGTGGCTCAGTGTAAAGGCCTTGGATTCAACCCCCAGTACCGAAAAACAAACAGACAATGCCTGGCCCGGAGTGAGACCCACAGGAGGATGGTTATTAGTGAAACACACAAAGTCCACGCCTCTCTGGAAGAGGAGCCCCTGGAGGCCAGAAGGCAGATGGGGAGGCAGTGGGAGTTGGGGGCAGAGGAGAGGCATGCGGAGGCCCAGGGGCTGTGGGAACCACCTGGCCCAAAGAGTCCCGGCCACCACGTCCCACCAGGAGCCGGCAGTGGGAGATGAAAGAGTGTGCAGGCCGAGCCCCATCTGTTCCTTGTGACCCAAACTTTGTTCCCAGCGCCCGAGACGAATCAGCATGAAATGCACATCTGGGACCACCTCCGGCCGCGGTCCCTCCCGGGCGCCCAGCCAGCCCATCTGTGAGGTAATGGAGGTGGCGCAGGTGGGCTTCAGAGCACAGGGGAAGCCAGGCCACTCTTGATGCCACTGCCAGATGGCTTCCTGGAGGGGGCTCCTGAAGTGTTCGGGGTCTGAGTAGGAACTGGGCTAGGAGGGAAAGGGGGAAGGGAGCCCCAGGAAAGGGGAGCGGCTTGCCAAAAGGTGGAGGACCTGGGTGTGGTCAAAGAAAAGAGAAGAGGCTAAGGCTGGGGATTTAGCTCAGTGGTTCCGTCGCTTGCCTTGCAAGCACAAGGACCCAAGTTCGATCCCTGGTACCAAAAAAAAAAAAAAAGAAGAAGAAAAGAAAGAAGGCGATACAGGCAGTCATCATCGTGAGGTGACTCAGTTATGGAGGAAACGGAGGCTGGAGATCAAGAGTCATTCCCCAGGCCTGGGTCTTCAAGGACAGAGGAAGGAGCTGGTCGAGGCAGGAAAGACTGAAGGACAAGGACTGTCCAGGGGTGATGGGGAGCCGTGGGGCCGCAGTCAACCCTGAGAGGAAAGGACCTGGTGTGTGTGTGTGCAGCCCAGGGAGTGGGGGAGGCTGGGGCAGCCGGGAAGAAGGGACCCTGGATGGGAAGAAGGGAGCCTGGACCGGAAGAGGGGCCGGAAGTGAAAAGCCCCACCTAGGGGAGCCTTCCTCCCAATGCCCAGGCAGAATTCCTTTCCCTCCTCTCTGTGAATGCCTTGTGTTTTTGCTTCATTCATTCACTTATTCGTTGGCTCAATGTTTCTTCCTCTGGC